TTAAGAAAAAAGTTTATGATACGCAACAATAGTTGCTGGGGAGCCATTGAATGGGAAGTTTGCATCCCAGATCATTCTAGCTACGGCATGGAAGGTGCAAGATGAATTTAAGAAGTGCGTGACTGAAGGCCGGATGATGAAGAGGCCAGTATAAGACAAAGTAAAAGATTAAGAGAACATGAACATAGCCCTGACTGGTGTGGCTCAGTGGGTTGAGTGCCGGCCTGCAAATCCAAAGGTTGCTGGTTCGATTCCCAGTCAGGGAACATGCCTGTGTTGGGAGCCAGGTCCCAGGTGGGGGGCTTACAAGAGGCAACCCATAGATGTACCTTCACACATTGACATTTCTCTCCCTCTCTTTCTCTCTCCCTTACCCCTCTCTAAAATAAATAAATAAAATATTGGGAGAAAGAAAGAGAGTATGAACAAGGGTAGTAGTAATAAGCATTGAAAGAAGAGGACAAATTTTAAAACTTTAGAAAGCAAAAGAAGCAGGACGTGGTAATTATGCAAGTTATTCTCTGTTTGTACCACAGAACCACTTTTTACCTTTTTTTTTTTTGCCCTGGTCTGTGCCCCGCAGGGTGGTTGACTCTATAGATTGTATCATCTACAGTCTTTGCATGGGTTCCTGCTAATTAGGAGGCAACAGTAAAAGACTGGAGGGCAGGGTGGGGGAAGGTCACAGAATCCTCTCCTCTACTTAATGGTCACACATCCATTTAGGTGGCTCCTCTTCCGTAGCTCCAACTCTTTCTGGGTTCGGGTAGTACATTCCTCTTTTGCTAGCCTCTGGACAGCTCATAAGCCTCACTGAATGAATCCCTTAACTGCCCTCACCTCTGTAGATGGTCCTTTGGTTAAACTCTCCTGAATTCATCCTTTTGAGTCTTTTTCCTGCAAGGACCCTGACTAGCAGTAATTGATGGAGAATAGGGAGAGAGTACAAGTCGATGAGGTGACTCCCAGGTTTAGATTCTTTCCTTCCTTTTGGATTTTAGCACTTTCCTGAATGCTTTGTTAGGACATGCTGTGTTCAGATTACTTGGAGTCCATGTCCCCCTCCCCACAAAACTTTGATTGGCGTTCCCAAGGAGATTGAGGCAGGTTCCTAAGAACCAAGCATGGTACTTGTTGTAGAATAGCAATAAATGAATATTCTCACATAATTTTGAACTCTGTTGTCCCATTATTATAGGCCCTTGTACATTCAGATTCTGAACTCAGCATTGGCCTGGCCATTATTAGAGTTTTTTATTTAACGAGTTCTAGATTTTGAAATGTACGCGGAACAATTAGAAAAGACCTATTATAAAACAACAAAAATCTTAACTGTAGTAAAATAAATACTGAAGAAACAGAATATTTAGCATTGTGAATGCATGTATACAAATTTCAATGCCCAAGCAGCTGGACCATGGCTATAGTATTTTGTTGTTCTAATATAAATTATTTTCTACAAGTAATCCAATACACTGTACATTCTATTCTTTATCATATAACAATCACTTCGGCTCAAAATAATTTAATTGAGAGTTCCTTCGCAATTCTTGTTAAGCCATAAACAAATTATATTTTGACTCCCCACATTGCTTTTATGCCTTATACTTCAAATATCCCAACAAACCCTACAGAGCCGTGCCCTATGCCCCACATCCCTAGCATGGACATTAGACTCCTCCAGCCCAATTAAGTCAGCACCTTTGGGTATGAGGCCCAGGCACTGATACTTAAAATCTCTCCAAATTATCCTAAAGTGCACAGAATTGAGAACCAGTGGTCCAAACCACAAGCTAAAACAAACAGGATCACACAAAAAGATATGAATCTTCACAGAAGGCATAAACATAGGATATCTTGTGTCCAGCAAGCTGTGTATCCCTTGTTAATGAACTTCGGTGAGTTTTTACCACCCTGTTAACCTTCAACTCCTGCACATTGGAAAGCTGAGAGCCCTTTCGTTGGTTTTGCTTCCTTGTTTGGCATGTGCGGTTTGTTGACAAGCTGCCCAGAGCATGGTGAAAGACAACCCCAACTAAACCTGCCTTGAGTCAGCAGTGGTTTTCTACATCAGAGAGGTTTACTTTAGAACCTTAAAGAGGGTGGAAAAGAATATGTAAGTGAAGGCATCAATGCACTCTCAGAGGTAAAGATCACAGTTTGGGTTGTGAGGGGGGGAAAGAGCTATTTTGAACAAAGGAGTGATGCCTTCAATATTTTTAAAAAAATCTTTGACTAAGGATCAAGAAGTAAAATCTGTATTTTGCAACTGTTTTGCATCCTACTTCAGGTTTCTTTGTAATACACAAAAAAGGAGCAAAAGGTAACATATTAAGTACAATACTTCAATAAATATAATCTTAAATTATTCTAAGTCTCAATTAGGAATGAGATAATAAGGAAAAGAGTAATTAAAATATATTTTCTGTTCCAGATTTCTGAAGGTGACCAGATGTTCCATATTGTGTCAGTTTCAAGAGAATCTAAGATACACACTACAAAGAAATGCAAGACATCTGTGATTTCTCTATCTGACTCAATGACATTTTAACTAATGAGAGCTAGTAGTTCACAAAGTTATCTGAAGTATTTCACAAGGGAGAGACAGCATTCCTTGCACTGTCTTAGCAGTAGGCACTGCCCACAGGTTGATACTGCAGGTGATGATGAAACAGTTGTTGACTCCTTTCATTTCTTCTCTGTTTTCTCCATTTCCAGCCAACTCCTTCCTCCATCTCAGCCTATATAGAGTTGGTAGTAACAATATGTACTCTTAAAGCTTCGTGCAGTCTAGGTGTTTTAGGTATTTGGGTTATCTCAACAAACCAAACAGGGTGAAAAACAAAGCAAAGCAAGATAAACTAAACCTTGCTCCTGTGGAATGGGAGAGTATGCAGTATAACATAACCTGTGAAGTGAAGTAATTCAGCTGAAGCAAGGACTCACAGAGATAACTAGAAGAGTGAAGTCTAAATGCTTCCCCGCCAAACTCAAATCTCTCGAAAGATTGGGAGGTCTCCTTCTGTTTTCTGAAGGGAGATTACAGCCAATTACTTTAGATATTTACAAGATATGAGTTGCATACACTTGTGATCAAATACTTAAAGGTGTTAGTGACCTTTTATTTTAATAATTCACGTAAGTTTTAAATGACTCTAGATAACTGTAACAATGCATAGCATTAAATATATGTATATTTTATATATAAAATGCTGTTATATATATGTTATCTAATTTAATGGCTATAGCACTCTTGTGTCCCAAGGGATTAGCTAAAGCACATATATGCATAGCCCATAGATACAGACAGCGGAGTGGTGACGGCCAGAAGAAAGAGTGGGAGGCAAGGGGCCTGGGTGGATGTGAGCAAAGGGTGGGGAATGGGAACATCTGTAATAGTGTCAATAATAAAAACAAATAAAAACAAAGTTTAATAAAAAAAACTAAGTAGGAAACATAACATCATTAGGTCTTTTTACAAGTGACTCTTAAGGAAAGGTTGAATTGAATCAGCCAGACAGGACCAAGCATGGACTAGAACATACTTTTTTTTTTTTTGGGTCCAGTGACCTTTTCATATTTTACTACATCCTACTGGGACTAGAGAGGCCTTAGTTTTTCAGTCCTGTTAGGAATATAACACACTTAAATCTTAAATTTCTTAGTACAAAAAGTACTCATTAAAGATGGGAGAGAAATACGGACCTTAAGTGGTTGGGAAAGTCTACATGCAAAACTTGGGAGTGGAGGAGGGTGTATTTTCCATCAAAATTTAAAAAACATCTGACTCCCTTCTTTGATATGGACTCTGCTAGATGCAAAGTTAAAAAAAGCTTAAGAACAGACCTTGTCTTTGAGATTCACAATCTAGTGATCTGGCCTCTGAAGAACTGATTAGGATTTACGGAGATAGGAAGGTGTTCAGAGGAAGGGTGACTAAGATAATCAGATCAAAAGAGAAGGCAAAAAGTCATGCAAATAACTTGTGAGAAATGAAGGAGCCCCCAGTTTCAGTTTGATATACAAAAATGCTCCATTTTTCTTTATTGTTAAGTAAAATACTCACCATTAACACGTTTGAAACCAGGAAAAAAATTGAGTTGTTAGATATGTTTCCTATGTCCGTCCCCCTTTAAAGTTTAGAATCTATCTCTTAGGGGCCACACCTTGGAAGAACTTTTTCTATGTATTAAACTCTGTGTGTTTTTTTAAAAATTAATTTTATTTTATTTTAAGAGAAGGGAAAGAAGAGAGAAAGAGAAGGAAACATCAATGTGTGGTTGCGTCTCGAGAGTCCCTAACTGGGGTCCTGGCCCGCAACCGAGGCACGTACTCTGACTGGGTATCCAACCGGCGACCCTTTGGTTCACAGATCGGTACTCAGTCCAATAAGCCACACCAGCCAGGGCCCTAAGCTCTTTTTAAAACGACGGAACAGACAGACGGGCGGTTTGAGCCATGCCAGTGGCACTAACTGGTTGCATGATCTTGGGCAAGTACATCTCAGGATGTCCCCCTTTTTTGTCTTTAAGATAAATATGGTCCAGAGGCCCACCTTACACGGTTTTATGAGGATGACAAAATGCCAGGGAAAGCATTTCCTCTACCACATTTCAGATGCTTGTTATCTCCAGTTCTTTCCAGTCTACCCATTTTGAGACTTGGTGCATCACAGTCCAAAGGCCTGAAGCATCACCACAAATGTCTGACGGTCTTTCCGCATACCCACCCATCGCACACTCCTATAAGCCAGGGAACGAGGCGAGAGCACGCTCTGGTTTCGTCCAGGGGAATAAACAGACATATAAGACTGAGACCATTCGGGACTATGCCCTACGCGCAAGCGCAGTGCCCGCCCCACAGGCCTCTACCTACGAGAAGAGGCGGGCCGTGACGTCAGGCGCACAGACGTTTGCGAAGCGTGCGCCGCCCGACACGGTCTGTAGTTAAGGGCTGTACGTCCCGGTCTGCGGAGCCCGCCGGTCGGAGGGGGCGGGGCTTCCTCCTGGTGGAGGTGGGCGCGCTTGCGTGCTGCGGAGAAAAAGTCTCTAGGTTCTCGCGCGCTAATTAGTCGCATGGATGTGTAGCTATTGAAGGAGTTTTCTTGTTCCGTTTACCAAAGCATCTTCCCTTTGGTTATATAAGTGCAGGCCTAGGGTGGTGACTGTCATGTCGAACACTCGGCCCAGGCCCCGACGAGCCGCCGGGAATGCCGCTGGGGGAGCCGGGCGGGATGAGCTGGTGTCCCGGTCCTTGCAGAGCGCGGAGCACTGCGTGCGCGCCCAGGACTTCGGCACTGCCTACGCCCACTACCTCCTGGTGCTCAGCCTGGCGCCGGAGCTGAAAGATGACGTGAAGGTGAGGAGGGCCTCTCTTTCACTTTGCTGGCAGATCCTGTTCTTTTCTTAAAAATAAATGCATAAATTGGGAGAAGGGGGCTGAGTTGGGGGGCTGGGGTTGCTATTAATATTTACTGTACAGCCTTGACTCCTTTTGTTCGCACCACAGCCAGCCCATTAGAAAATCCTGTATGCTCCACCTTCAAAATATATCCGGACTCTTACCACTTCTCCCTACTTTCCTTTGCTACCCTGGTTTAAGCTTCAGGCACCTCCTGCTGACTGTTGAAATAGGCTCGAAACTAGGCTTCCCCCGCAGTCTCTCTCGGCAAGGCCAGCCGGAGCTTTAAACAAAAGTCAAGTGAAATCACTTCTCTATTTCAAAACTTCCTTCTCACTCCGATTTCAAAGGCCATACTGCATGTGAGGCCTTAGGCGATCATCTCGCACTTCCTAAATTGAATTCTAGCGTGTTCCTGCCTTGGGGCCTTTGTACGTGTCCCTGCTGCATGCAGAAGCAATACTGTAGGTTTTGTAGTTGGATAAATTTTGGAATTAGCCTGAAGTATTCATTTGATGATGCATTCCTTAGGTTCAGTTATTGGATTGCTTGTGACAGTTGTTCTGTGGAAATGCTGTACATTTCTTTCAAGTTACTTTCGAATCTTAATTTTGCAAAAATAATTTAATTACGCATTCAATTTTCAACTGCTCTATTCAGCTAGTCTCAAGCTACTTTATTTTATTCAGGATCACTTAACCTCATTACTACTGACATTTTGGATGGGAGAATTCTTCCTTGCGGAGGTGGTCCTGTGCACTGCAGCATGTTTAGCAACATTCCTTACCTCCATTTAGTAGCTATAAGTAGTGTCTAGAGGTTTGTAGCTCACATACATTTAATGTAAGTTTCCGGACCAACTGACTGAAAGAAGGAGAAAGTGATATGCTTAGATACAGTTTGCTTTTCTAGGTAGCAGTAGAATAACGGATCATTTCAAGTGCATTTTCTCTATTGTTTGTTCCTTAGTTTCCTCTTGTAAAACAGAAACAATACCTTTTTTTGGTAGATATTTAATGTGTATTAAAAGTATGTCTAAAATTGATATTTCCATACCTAGCATTTCAGTAACTAGCTCTGTTTCCTGCAGAACAAAGTCCATATTTCTTGGCCAAGGCCTTTGCAAAATACCTCTTCAGCCATAGCAGCCTGCGTACTTATTGATTCCCTATTGGTCCATTCCATGTAATCTGTGCTTTTTTCCCATCATACCCTATAATCTTCCTGATTGTTGGCTCTCTAATAAACTTTATCAGAATTCAGTTTCAGGTATTAATTCTTCTCTGTAAGATATGTGAAGATGATGTAAAAGTGTTCATGAGAAAGCTGGAATGATTAAATGAGTAAATTTAAACATTTAAAGTTCAGTTATGGTTAAGTTTGATTCTCTGGGGACTCTTCAACCTGTATTGTATATTCTTCCATCATTTTTGTTACTGACTAATTTATTGTTTTCTCTTTTGTAAAGGAAACTTTTCAGTATACACTCTTCAGATGGGCTGAAGAGCTTGATGCGCTCGGTAGAACACAAGACTTACTTGGTTGCTATGAGCAAGCCCTGGAACTGTTTCCTGAGGATGAAGTGATTTGCAATAGTATGGGGGAGCATCTCTTCAGGTGTGTAGCGCTTTCAGACGGCTTGTTGAGAACTATTCTGCGTCAGTCTGGATAAAGGGGTAAATTGTAAAGTAATTTGAACAGGGCAAGTGTAATATAAAGAATTATTAACTATAATAGGATCAGAGTAGTGAGGGATTGGCTAGTGAGACAGAAAGAGAACTCAGAAGGATATAGGAATAGCAGATATGTAATAGTAGCAGTTTTAGTATTATATCATGTAATGTATAATAGCTCCTGTCCGCAGGGCTGAGCTGAGAAGAGTCTCAGGGAAGAGTCCCCCCACCAGGCTGAGATCCAGGTCTTGAGTAAGAGGACATAACAGTGGTTCACAGGGTAGCAGAGAAGTCCTGTGTGCTGTGCCAGGGAACTTGTAAATCTGTTCTCTGGAACTTCCTGAAATTGGCTATTGGAATTTCTGTTTACTCTCCATAGAAACTTTATAATTAGGAAAACTGGTAAAAACCAAAAATTTTTGTTTTGGATTTGTTTCAGTAAATCTGGTTTGGCTTCTTTGTACAAAGTAAAGGGAGAATTCTTGTTTAGGAGACACCATTATAATGCCCTATTCTATACAGTAAGATCATTTTACATGTTCCAGCAGTTGTCCTCTGGTATTATGCTCTGCTCATTTGGTCATGTTAAGTTTTGTGTGTGTGTGTGTGTGTGTGTGTGTGTGTGTGTGTTTATGAAAAAGTTACGTTAAAAGAAATACTTTGTCAAACTTTATTAGTCAGCCTCAGTAATGTAACTACTTTACAGTTTAATAGTTTCAATCGAAGCGGCGGCGGTGAGGGGATTGAAATGAGTACTCTTTTAAAAGACATACCTTTGATAGTTTCCGGTTGTAGTGTATGATGGTAACCAGGAAAATAAGACAGATTGTCAACTGAAGCTTGTTTGTTCACACTGACAGCTAACCTGATACTGATACACAGAATCATCTCTGCAAATTAGTAGCCACTCTCCATTTAAGTGAAATTTAGTTTAAAAATATTTTTAAATAACCTCAAGTTAGTTAGAAATCTACATTTTAATTTTGAAGTTTTCTTTAGTCTATGTAAGTAGAGTTACTTCATAGGATTCTGTTATATTTCCAGATTATATGATTAAATGTGTGATCACATGATAAGACTTATGTTTTATAATAAATTCAATTTAACAGAAAATTGGAGCTCTACACTTTTGGCAGATTGTAACTGTTGGTAACCTATTTTTGTAAGACATTAGCCTAAGCAATTACCAGTCATTAAGAAAAAAAAAAAAATCGTGGTGTTAATTTGTTTTGGGGAGATGTAACTATACAACATTTTGAATTTAGACATTTGGCAATTCAGAATTTGTGATAGTGTGAATGTGGCTTTTGCTAAACAGTTTACCTTTGCTCTTTAGGACAGTGGTTCTTAGCTCTTGCTCTACTCTACTTTTCTCATCAAAATAATGCATAACTTATTCCCCACCAAAAGAATCACTGTTCCAGGGGGAAAATATTTCCAAACCAAATGATAGCTTCCTTTCCTGACATTTATTTGTGAAATGAAATTTGTGTCTTATCTTTACAACCTTGTGTTAGCCAACCATTAGATTAAAAAAATATTGAATTGCTAATCAGGAAGATAATATTTTTCTGGTTAAAAGAAAACAAGACATTCTTATAGTTTATTATTGACACATGTTGAAGTGTTTCAATATGAGGTATACTTTGAGTGGATCATTACTTTTTTAGATTAGCATTGCAGTTTGAGAAAACTGAATTAATATTAAGGATCAAGTCTTAGGGAAGCACAAACAGAGGAAATTATTAGATGCAGGTTTGGCATTGATTCAACAGGTCGCTGGTATCATGAAATTTTAAAATATTCATTACTCAGTTGGTCTCTTGACAAATAATGATTACATATGCTGTATCTCACATGGTTCTGTGTGCTATGGCAGTTGCAGAGTAAGAATAAGACAGCTCTATCTTCAAAATAATTAAAAGTAACATGAGTGCCTATCATTTGACATAAGGCCTTTTGCCTTTTGTTAGGGTGCAGTTCCCTTTTTTTGCTTGAAACCATACTCAGAATGAATAGACTGATGCAGCTTCTTTAAAATTTACAGAGTGCTTCAAGGTGCTTGTGAAGAAATCTGAGTGTGAAGGGTTCTAACAGCTCAGGTCTCTTCACTGTGTGGACCGCACACTGGGGCCAATTTACAAATTACCAGTCCGTGACAGATAAACACAGAAATTTAGAGTAAGCATTTAGAAATCTAAATAGCAGTGTGACGTTGCTGTAAATCCAGCATATGCTCAGGGAACTGACTTGTTGAAGAGAGTTTGGACTAGTTTGGGTGCTGCTGAAATCTGATGTGTGAATTACATACTAATCATGCAGTACAACTGTACTGGTCTACAAATGCTTAGGTTCTTCACAAGGGGCCTATGAGATATAGCCATTAGTGGGTTTTATAGAGAGAATGGTTTTTAGAAAGCACCGGTGTTCTATTAGGTTGATTAAATGAAGGATGGCGTTGAGAACTTCTGATATGCTATAGTACAAGAGAATTTTTAGTTAAGCACGTGTTAGTGTCCTGGGATGCATAAATGTAATAAGGGTTCAAAAAAGAAAGAAGTGGTCCAGGATCGCAGGTCTCGCTGAAGGGTTCCAAGGGCGATGGCTCTTGGGTTGGGTTGGGATCGGGGTGCTGGTGCGGGATTCCTAGGGCAGGTGAGTGGCACGAACAAAGGCGCTGTAATTGATAGTAGATAGTTGACTCTTTTTTCTGTCATTTTTTACTCTAGGATGGGCTTTAGAGATGAAGCAGCTGGGTATTTCCATAAAGCAGTGAAGCTAAACCCAGATTTCAGTGACGCAAAGGAGAATTTTTACCGCGTTGCAAATTGGTTGGTGGAACGCTGGCACTTTATCATGCTTAATGACACCACAAGGAATACGATCTATAATGCAGCAATCCAAAAGGCAGTTCGTGTGGGATCCAGAAGCGTTTTGGACATTGGAGCAGGAACTGGAATACTAAGGTTTGTTACACTTGTTTTTTAATTAAGTATGCATGCATGTGAGTGTAAATTAAAGCTTTTACCAAATATGGAATATTTAACTGGAATTCAAAAAGAAAGAGATTAATTTCTTTCTCATAATCTTTTATTTTTTAAGATTTATTTTATTTTTATTTTTAGAGGGGAAGGGAGAGAGAAAGGGAGCGAAATACCTACATGCGAGAGATACATCAATTGGTTGCATCTATCACGCCCTCAACTGGGGACCTGGCCTGCAACCCAGGCATATACCCTGACTGGGAATTGAACCAACAACCTTTCAGTTCACAGGCCAGCTCTCAGTCCACTGAGCCACACCAGCCAGGGCATTTTCTCATAATCTTGTTATGATTGTTCATGCAGCTGTTCGTGTATTTTTCACTCTAGCTTTTGCTTTTTCAAGAACTGGACTTAACTAGCAAGAAAAATTGGGGGTTATTGACATTTTGAATAATGAATTTTAATGGCTTTTTTTTATGTTAATATTCTGGTTGAATCTAGTTATGTAAGCCAATTAGCATTCTTCATGCCAATTGTGTCTTAATCAGGTGGATCTCGTGATTTATTGTATGACTTTTATCTTGACAAAAATAGTAGTTCATTTTTTAATATGGAATAAATAATGGTTGCGTTAAAGAGTAAAAGGAAAATCCCATGTTTAAGTATCACAATTCCAGTAACATTTGAAAAAATACAGTGGATTGTGCTTTCTTGATGGAGCACTTTTTCCCCTTGTAGCATGTTTGCTAAAAGAGCTGGCGCGCACTCAGTGTATGCCTGTGAGTTGTCGCAGACCATGTATGAACTTGCCTGTGACGTGGTGGCAGCAAACAAGATGGAAGCGGGGATCAAACTCTTGCATATGAAGTCACTTGACATAGAAATTCCAAAACACATTCCCGAAAGGTAATATACTGTAAACTAATTTTAGTATTTATAATCCACTATTTTGTTCTTGTAAAAAGTAAGATATTTACATCTCTGGCTTCTAGTCTAAAGAAAAATGCTAAAACTTTTATATTGTAAGTTTATGGAAATAGGGTAGTTTAGCATGAGTTTTTATAATAAGGTCATATTCTTGATAATAAATACCTAAAGATTTTGAGAAAAATTTATGGCAAGGGACTTAATAAATGAATTTGACATTTAGCAAGTTACTCTACCTCTGTTAATTTTAGCATTCTAGTTGTAAAAATGAGTAATACCTCCTGTGTGGTCAGTAAGTATTTAAAAATTCTACTTTAAAATAATGGATGAGTAGATCAGCCTTGGAGGACTTAATATATTTTGTGTTAATATCCTTGGCTAAATTGAGAGTTTTGGGAGTTTCAGGTCTCAATGGCTTGGGCCATTTCAAATGCTTTGAATATAATAAGTCCTAGCTTTTGATCCTATCATAAGGGTGATGGAATTTTGGAGCTAGAAGGGATTTAAAACCATCTAGTCCAACACTATCATTTTAAATATAGTTTTCTCTATGAAGCACTTGCTTTATTACCCCTCCTGGGTAATCTATCTTCTTACCTTATTTAAGTGTATATTAAAACAGGGCTTTTTATACTCTTTATCATTTGGACTATGATTTTAAAAACTCTTCTATCAGATGTATAATAATATTTATATTAACATAATACTTACGCTTTTCAGTGGTCTGTCTTTACATTTGTTCTCATGAAATAGAAGTCCCATTAGATTGTTGAAACATACTGTACCCATTTTATAGAAATAGTGTCCTGAATTGTCTTAGTGTGCAGACTACCTGGCTTAAACAACAGACATTTATTTCCTCATAGGTCGGGAATCTAGAAGTCCATGCTCAGGGGTGCTGGCAAATTCAGTTTCTAGTGAGAGTTTCTGTCCTGGCTTGCAGATGGCTGCCTTCCTGCTGTGTGCCCACATGGTCTTCCCCCGTGTGTGTGTGTGTGAGGAGAGCGAGAGGTCACTGGTGTCTCTTCCACTTTTATAAAGACACCGATGATCAGCTCTCTCCACCTTTATGATCTCACTGGACCTTAATTGCCTCCTAAAGACCCTGTCTCCAAATACAGTCACGTTGGGGGTTAGGACTTCAACATGAATTTTGGTGTTACGCAGTTCAGTCCATAGTATAAATCAAAGATATTTTAATTTACATTTTTCTCACATAGTGTTGTGGAAGGATCTACTAACTTTGAATCAGGAGATAAGGATTCCAGTACAGATTCTGTTTGTAATTTATTTTGACCTTGAGCAAATCTAGAGACTTTGGAATAGATGTTTGCAATGCCTTCCATTTTATAAATGTATGCAATCATAAATGTTGAAAATTTGTGTATAAATAGAATACTGGGTTTAAGCACTGTAGGGGATACCCAAGTTGTTTTTGTTTTCAAGACACCTGCAGTCTAGATAGGAAGATAAGGAATGGTAATGAGACTTTTATTCTTCTAACTACCCGAAGGATGCAGTAAGTGCTAAACAAGTTCAGAGTAGGGAGAAATCATTTTGGTATGTCTTTAAGTGAAACTTTCTAGAAAGAAAAATAGAACAGAGGAAAATTGGGTAAAGCAAGAGAAGTCACAGGAGAGGTGTAGGAGGTAAACACAGAAAGTGAAGGTAGGAGGCAGGACTTCTCTGCATTAAATGTTATTTGTAGATCAAGGGAAATGAAAACGGAGAAAGACTATTCATTTTGACAAGTAAGGGAGTCATCGGTGATGGAGAGTGTCTTTATAAAGTGTTAGGGATAGAAGTCCAATTAGTCAGCATTAAGAGGGAAGGCTGGTGAAGTTAATGGGTGTGCACAATCTTAGGATTTAGGCAATGAAAGAATAGTCTGGGGCGGCATGGTCAAGTGAAGGTTGTGCTCCCCACCCACGCCCTGCCAGAAGTTGTCAGTGGGGTAAAGGAGCCTGAGGGACATTAGAGTCAGGTTCTTCAAGATTCAAGAGTAGATATTTAAAAATGGAATGCATTGGGAAATTTTACATATGGACTGTTTCTATAATATACTCTTCCTTTTTTCTCTCAGCTTTGACATCTTACATAAATAGCATGATATTTTACTTACATATATCTTTAAAAAATCATTCTATAGAGTGTCCCTAGTTGTAACAGAAACTGTCGATGCAGGTTTATTTGGAGAAGGAATTGTGGAGAGTTTGATTCATGCGTGGGAGCATTTACTTTTGCAGCCAAAGGTAAGCAGTGTGGAAATTCTTAAATTGGATTAAGAATTCATTATTTTAACAGATAGCTATCAAGCCCGTACTGGAAGGAAACCCATTTAAAAAACATTTAATAACACTGCAATGTATACTTGTGTGCCAAAATAGAGTATTCAGGCAAAAAAAAAAAAATTACTCCAGGAAGGACTTCATAGGAATTAAGATTATATTGTGAAGGGACTGACTATTGGATTCTCAACTAGGATTGGAAAGGGAAAAAAAATTTTCAGTCTCAGCAGTCCTCACTGCAGATTATCAAAAGAGTATAGTGATAGCTGTCTTGGAATTTTTTTTTTAAAATTGATTTTAGAGAGAGAGAGAGAGAGACATTGATTGGTTGTTCCACCCATTTATGCATTAATTGGTTGATTTTTGTATGTGCCCTGACCAGGGATCGAACCTGCAACCTTGGCATATGATGCTCTAACTGAGCTACCAGGCCAGGGCTGTCTTGGTATGGTTTTAAAATACTAGTTGAACCCAGGCTACTAATTGGACAGAATTAACTTTTATAATTACCAGATTACATTTTGCATTAAAATCCCTTACTGTAGCCCACAAATTGTAGATTTGGTTTATATAATATATATTATGAATGAAATGATTTTAACATGTAATAAGAATTCACTACTTACAGAAAGTGACTTGGATTTAAAATAGCTAATTAAAGGTTGAAAAGAAGAGCAGTTTTCAAGTAGGTAATGGTGATTTTGGCTTTTCAATTAGTCACATCCAGTAGTTTTTTGCTGTAATCATATTTACACCCTTGTAACTCCCCCTTCACCCTTCTCCTTCCCTTCCTATTTATACTGTTTAAAAAAGCGCATATATATAAAATATATATGCATAAATATAGCATATAAAATAAAAAATTTTAATGAAAAATAACTCCTTAACCTGCTTATCCTTACCTATTCTTTAAGTTTTTTCTTATTAATTTTTATGGTTTGTCATCGTACACACACATTGTGGCATACATGTAACTGAGTCTAATTTTTACTGTTATATTTTTAGGCCACAGGTGAAAATGGCAATTGTGAAAATTATGGGAAAGTTATACCAGCAAGTGCTGTTATGTTTGGCATGGCAGTAGAATGTGCAGAGATAAGAAGACATCATAGGTAAGTGATTACTTAAACAGCAAATATTAGAAAATTGTAATTTTATGGAGTAGACGATACTTCAGAGGTAGTTTTCTGACCTATAAATTCATGATGTTAATTCTAATTGTAATTTTCTTTTTGAATTTTTTAAAACTACAGGAGTCTAGGATTAAAACCAGCTTTCAATTTTCTAGTGGAAAATTAATTTTGATATAACTTAGTATCCTTTTGAGGTGTGATAGATTCTTGTAGGAAAATATTAAGTTACTGATTTTAGATGAAAGTGAAGTAAAAATTTCCATTATGAAACTAATTTTAGTTTTAATTATTTATCCCATTTCTTCTTCTTAGTAACTTTATTGATATTGTAATGTTTTGTGATTGAGGGGAATGAAATTTTAGGATTTTTCTACCCTTGAGTTGCTGAGATTTACTTATCAAAGAGTGACATAGATAGATTTCCTTTTAGGTATAGAAGCTTCTTGGTTACTTTTTTAAAACATTAGTAAATGTTTTATTTTGCTAAAATATTGATCCATATTTTGTTAGGACTTTTTAAGAAACACGCGCCCCCTTCTCCCCCGACCCCGAACTTGGTAGTAGTAAATGTAACATACAAATATTTCAGGAAATACTGATGAGTAAAAGAATAAAAAATCACCCTGATAACTACTGTAGATAACTACTATTCATCTTTGTTACATTTTCTTCCTTATACTTTTCCATGCATATTGCAGGGTGATAAGTAAAAATTTTTAGGGATTGGGTAGGGCACAGTGCACTGACCAAGTAGTGGCCTTAGCACATTAGCTGAATTAGAGTGTGCTGGTTGAATATCAGCTCTATGTAAGTAAATGTGTGTGTATAAATTAAACTTTATTTTAAAAGTATCAGTAAATATGTTTGCTTTTTGTGAGCCTCTTTGTGTTCTTAGATTTGCTTCATGTATTTTTAAAATCAGTTTCCTAAGTATAGTTCTCAGAGTTTAGAATTTTAAGGTTGCTTTCCACTTTTCTGCTTTTAAGAACAGTGGTAATGTCTTTGTACCTAGTCCTTGTGGACCTGTCTGTTATTTTCTTGGGATAGCTACCTTAGTAATAAAACTACTGGATTGAAGCGTATGTACGTTTTTCAGGCTATAGAGACACATCGCTGAATTGTCCACCACAGAAACTAGGTTGTATCTTGCCAAGATTTTTTGCTAAAATGTAATTCCAGACACTGCACACCTCCACAAGAGTAGGCATTATTCTGACTTCTGACACCATCAATTATTTTTACTGTTTTGAATTGCATACAAACAGAATCATACAGTATTTTTTGTGTGTTTTTCTTTTGTCTTTTGTCCAACATATCCATGTTCTTGTGTATAGTTTGTTCATCGTCATTGCTATGTGTAGTATACCATTGTATGCATACACCACGATACATTTGTCTATTTTACTGTGGATGGACATTTAGGTTATATCCATTTTTGAAGGGCATTGGAAATAGTACAGCTGTAAACATCCTTTAACATTCTTGTAGTATATTGATTTTTGTGGGCCATATCCCTAGAGGTGGAAATGTCAGACACCTTCATGATTTTTGTGGGCCATATCCCTAGAGGTGGAAATGTCAGACACCTTCAGGTTTCTATATTGAGTAAATCTGGAATAGATATTTTCTGCTTGAGTAGATACTATGAAAGTCTTCCAAAGTGGTCTGACTAACTTTATACTGCCACCAGTAGCGTATGAGACTCTATTTTCACCAGTACTTGTTATTGACTGTTTATTTTCCCCCCTTTTGGTGATTGCTTAGTATGGTTTTAACATCATTTCCCTGATGGCTCATGAATCTGAACAACTCTTCATATGCTTATCGGCCATTTGGAAATGCTCTTTTGTGAAGTGTCTTTTAAGTCTTTTACCAATTTTCTTTTTCTTTTATTAATTTTTAGGAATTTAATAATATATTTTGGATATGAGCCCTTTGTTGAATAGATGCATCATGAGTATTTTCTACTCCGCAGCTTGCCTTTTTTCTTACTAGGTATCTTGATGAGTAGACATTTTTAATTTTAATGTAGGGTTTATTTATCCTTGTGTTTAAAAAAACTTTCTGAAATTTTATTTCATTTTTGTGTTTATTTTTGTAAGATTCAATATCACACGGTGCTACTTGATTCTAAACAAAAGAACCCCACTTTTCTCCCTTCCCCCTCTTATTTCCTCTCTCACCAGGGTGGGTGTTAAGGACATTGCTGGGATCTGTTTGCCAACAAATATCAAATTTCAGAGTCCAGCTTATTCTTCTATAGATTCTGAAGAAACAGTTGAACCTTATACAACTGAAAAGATGAGTCGAGTTCCTGGAGGGTATTTGGCTTTGACAGAGTGCTTTGAAATTATGACAGTAGATTTCAACAATCTTCAGGTAAAAAAAAAAAAGTTCAGGTTTAAAAAAATGTTTTTTGAGCATTAAATTTCATCTGTTGTTTAAAATAATTAATACATAGAACAGTCTTACGAGTTTGCATGGATTCTACTTATTATATGTAAAGAAAATGATTAAATGGTAACTAGAATTCCCTTCTGAAATTATTCACTTTAAATGCAGAGAAAAAAATCCCTAAGATTTGTTGGGAATGTATAATCTGCCAGGTGTTTTCACACGTGTTCTTAGGTCTCTCTGAAAACAGTGTTGCAGTATAGTTATACTTACCCACGTGCCGTACAGATGAAGGAACTGTGGCTTATGTTAATTTCCCCCAAAACACAGCGTGTGAATGCAGGGGCCGGAGTTCCAGCCTAGGTGTTTCCAGCTTTTCTCAGTGTCGTGCTGCCGTTTCAAATTAACGGTTAATTCCTTGAAATGACCAGTGATCCTTATCTCTGCGCTGTGTGATCATTAGGGGGGCCAGCCATCTCAGTGTGCCCAGGACTGAGAGCTTCCTGAGATGTGGGACAGTCTTGGGCAAACCAGGACAAGTCGATCACTTAGTGTATCTGTGTGTGTATTGCTGAGGGGTGGACAGGAGTGATAGACAAAGAAAAGCGCCCAAAGGAATCGAGAAAAGTTACATTAAAATCCTCCTCTAAGCTCTTTAAAGTAAGGTTAAATGTTCAAGTACGTACATTTTTAGATGAAACGTACTTGGGGACAGAAGCCTTTATGTGGATCATTTTAGCCTAAGATTTTTATAATTTAACAAAAGGTTTCCCCTAGTAATCGTTACTGTCTTTTTCTGGAGGTGGTATGGAGCTAAATGAATGTTTTGGCATTGCTTTCTAAGGCCAAGCTTCAAAAACATTTCTGATAGCACGTTCCAACAGAGAACAAGATTGCGGCTGCAAAGTACCCCAAAGCGATCCTTTTCTTAGTTTAAGCTTTTCTTATTTTAATTTTTCTTTGCCACAATAAAAAAATACCTCTTATTAAGACTTTAATTTCGAGAGTAATATCTGCCTGTTTAATGCTTTCAAGTAATACAGGGGAATGGAAAGGAAAAAGAAGAAACAATGTCTTTTTAAATCTAGGTCCTCCTTTTCCCAGGTCACCAGTTTCAAGTGCCTCTTTTTAGACTTAGTCCACACACACACACAGGCTTTTTAAAAAAAAACAAAACAATCCATATTGCTTTGCCACTCACCTCACTGCTTTCATTCAACAGTACAGGGTGGGGCAAAAGTAGGTTTACAGTTGTTCGTATGGAAAATAATACAATAATAATCCAAGGAAACCCTCTCGTGTATTCACACCTGTAAACCTTTTCCCCCACACCATATTTCATGGGCTTCTTTCTGTGTCAGTCATAGATATCTGCTTGCTTGTTTTTAATCGCTGCATGGAATTGCATTATGATGTCTCACAGCTTCCCAGTCAGGGTGCCTTCCGTGGTTATAGCTGCGCCTATAATTGATCCCCTCAAAATACTGATCCCCTCAGGGCGCTGGCAGGACTGAGAACTTGCGGAAAAGGAAGGCAAGCGTGATGTGCTTTGGGAGCATGTGCATATTAAATGCATAAAATCCTTTTACATTTCTGTAGGAATTAAAAAGTCTAGCTACCAGAAAGCCTGATAAGATTGGTGTTCCTGTTACTAAAGAAGGCACCCTGGATGCCGTCGTGGCCTGGTTCGTGCTCCAGCTCGATGACGAGCACAGCTTGTGCACCAGCCCGAGTGCCGAGACGTGTTGGGAGCAGGCCGTCTACCCTGCCCACGGCCTCGCAGGTATTGTCCTTCTAACTGTGTTGTCTTCCTTTCTTAAACTTGTTGCTTTAACCCCGTAGGCACTTGAGTCGTCGTCAAAAAGTGTACTTTATGAAGTTTCTAGTCAAGGGAGACTGATGACATCTTTGAGAATTTTCTTTTTCTATTTTAAAAAGCAACTTTCAATAATACATGTAGTTGAGATAAGAGACTAAAACACAACTTTGCTGCACACCACTCAAACATGTCTGTCATTGAATCATTTCTTCAGCTCTGATTACTCTAGTTACCAGTAGATTAGAGAAATGCTGGCCCATTTTTAATGGAACATAGTGGAAAACACTACTTGTAATGCAAGAGTTCTACTGCTTACAGAATCTGGTGGCACCTGTGGAGCCCCACATTGTAGAAATGCACACTCATGTAAGTGCAAAATGTTGCCGTTTTAGAGTCCATGAATCCATGGTCTTCTCTAGGGAAGTTCTACATTGAACGCATATTTTTGTAGAGATTTTTTTTTTTTTTTTTTTACCAGCAACTTGATGAGTTTCAGTACATTGCACAGCAGTTGTATTACATAGAAAAATTCTACCTTTTCTGAAGCACCATTTCTGTTTCTCCTAATGAAGGCTCTAGCTTGGGATAGTGATTAAGGCAGGGAGTTCAGTACAGTGGTTTGGCTAGTACGGTGTTTTTGAGTCAGTCAGGTGGGTTTGGATTCAGGTCTCGCTCTGCTGCTTTCCGACTCCCTGGCTGGTCTTGCTGGTGATGTCAGAGCTTTTGTTTTGTGATGTGTGAAAACGGGGTGATGCCACCTACCTTGCAGAACCATTGTAGGGATTTTAGAGATAATGGGTGTAAAATGCCTACCAGATGACTGGCACTTAACAAGCGACGTTTTCTATTTGTGTTAATTCATACTAAGCCTTTTATAGTAACTTAGATGAATGGTCTTTTTTTTTTTTTTAATCTTTAGGGAAAGGGCATTTTAAATGTTTAAACATAAGTGTAACAACTTGTACTTTCAACTGACTTTAGTGCTGATAAAGGATTTGTGACTGTTCACATTTTCAAGTTTTATCAAGTGTGAAAGCTAATGGAAAAGAGCATGATATAGCCTGTTGTAGGACTTCGTGTTTCCTTAAATTTTCACATTGTAAATATGCAAGACCATCAGTTAAGAGATACTACTGACAAGGTTCTTTTGACTACTGCTTTGCTCTTTTAGAAATGACTGTTAGAGGAAAGAACAACTTTCCTTTAAGCTAAAGTGAGGTTTGGTATTAATCCTGAATTTCATCTCCCATTATTATTGTTGGCTTCATTACCAAAGAAGATAGAGACTTCCCTGTAGCCCTTCCTCCAGCCCCCAATTTGGGGACACAGAAGGATATCTAACGATTGTAGGAAAAGCACTAAATACTGATAGTTAAGGTCCAATAACATAGCTCTTAAATCTCTGCACTAGGCTCTTCATTGAGTCTTCAAACATCAGTTTTTCCCTATGTAAAGCTGGAGAGATTTTCCTAGCCTTTTTTCCCCCCCAGGAAATGAGTAGATTGATTCACTTAATTCTAATAAATTCATAGATATAATCCTCCCTGTAGTGAATTTAACAACGGGGAGGGGCGGCGGAATGGGAGGACTGATGTGTTCCTGTGATGGTAAGGCTTTCAGCCATAACCTCTTTCTTTCTCTTTTATGAAGACTACTATGTTAAACCCGGGGACCATGTGACGATGGAAGTGTCTTGTCAAGACTGTTACTTAAGAATCCAGGGTATCCGTGTCTTCAGTTCGGAACGTGATATGGATGTCGGAAAAAGTTTTACCAGGAACAAAGACTTGCTCTCTTTAGGAAATGAGGCTGAACTCTGCAGTGCCCTGGCGAACCTGCAGACCAGTAAGCCAGACTCTGTGGAGCAGGCATGTGTATTGGAATCCACAGAAATTGCTTTGCTTAATAACATTCCATATCATGAAGCCTTTAAAATGGCAATGAGCAAAGTGTTGTCCTCACTGACCCCAGAGAAGCTGGGTCAGGCCATGGACACTCACAGCCAGGACGGTGAGATGAGCTGCGCAGGTGGCCAGAATCAGGCCGAACCGCATGCTTCTGAACCTTTCTATGTGTTGGATGTGTCCGAAGGCTTCTCTGTCCTGCCCATAATTGCAGGCACCCTTGGGCAGGTTAAACCTTACAGTTCTGTGGAGAAAGACCAGCATCGCGTTGCTCTGGACCTCATATCTGAAGCCAATCACTTTCCTAAAGAAACACTCGAGTTTTGGTTGAGACATGTGGAAGATGAATCTGCTGTGTTGCAAAGGCCAAAATCAGACAAGTTGTGGAGTATAATTATATTGGATGTCATTGAGCCATCTGGGCTCATTCAGCAGGAAATAATGGAAAAAGCTGCAATATCTAGGTAAAAAAAAAAATGTAATGTTGGTTTTTATGAGTCATGATCTTGTATGTCCCTGTGCCTGTCATTACCGACTTTTTCGCCCTAAAGGGTCCCTTGCTCCATAGATGTGAAGAAGAGAGAGAATGCTGTGGGACTGGACAGCGTGTATACAATATGGAAACAAGTAGAGATCTATAAAAATAGAAGATGTTCAGGGTGACAAAGGAAAAATCAAATTTCAGCTTGCTGATATCATAGAATGGTACCCTTTTATGGCTATTTGGTGTTAAAATTTTATCTGGTTTGGCAAAGGTATTGATAAGAGTTTAGGTAAGGGGGTGTGTGTATGTGTGGTTTTAAAAGAACTGTATAATTTTTTTAAGAGGTAATTTTACCAATTATGGAGATTCAGTTTCTACCCAACTTTACCTAAAATGTTAAAACATTAAAAGGAAAGGAATAACAAAAATAAGTGAAGCATTACTGTCAGGGTGGAGTCCATTTTTAGGCTAATGTGTATATAGGACTTACTACAATTTATATGATCATGTACTTCTATTTAGAGATGAAAGATTATCCTGCTTTGGGACCATGACTTGTTTCAATCAGTCTAATGCCATTGTGTTTAGGAATCATCTCTAACTTCCCTTGCTAATTCTGTGGCCACCAAATGACTTGATTATGATTTAGCTTCCTATTAGCTAATCTTTAGGGAGAGCTATTACAAGGGCAGACAATGTACCTATTATAAACTTTTCCATCAGTTTTTTATTTGGAAAAGTTTCAAAATTTCAAATTTAAGAAAAATAGCAAGATAGTAAGAGTGAGCCCTAGAAAACTATTTTGTTTGCTGAACCATTTGATAGTTGTTAGCTTTGTATCTTTGACCCTTATTTTAACAATTAGCATGTGTCTCCTTAGAACAAAGGCTTTCCTCTACGTAACACAAAATGATCACACTCAAGAAACTTAGCATTGATAAAATACTATTTAATATATAGTCTTTTAAAATTTCCCTTGCTGTCCCAGTAATACAGTCTTTACTGATTTTTTCTCACCAGTCTGGAAGTTCAGGTTGAAACCAGGTTGGACTATTGAGTAAAACTGAGGAATTTAATGTTTGACTGTAAATGTGTCAAATGAAAATAATTATTTAGTTTAAAGTACCTTCAAGTGCCCTCCACCCCCTCACATCTTGCACGGTTTTCAGATGTGAGGAAACAGACTACATAGGTGTGTGTGGGAGCTGCCTTGGCTTAAGAACTCTAAATTGCAAGTAGGATCTCCCATGGGCATAGCTTTCCATTCCCAGGAAAGCCCAATGGTAGTGTGGCTTCCCATTAGGCATTTACAGTTTTGTGCATAGTTCTCTCAGTCCAGATGCAATCTACCTACTAATAGTTTAAAAATAATTTTATCGTAGCAGGGTTGCTGATAACATAGCCGACTTTCAGCCTATGAGGTTTCCAGGGAAACAGAGGATGAACCCAAGATACTCGTAGGAAATAGGATTTTACTAACCCTTTTCTCACTAATTCATCACGATTTAGCTGTCGGTATTGATAAAATGTAGGGCATACTGATGCTTTTTAAAACATTTTTCTTTCTTTAGGTGTTTGCTCCAATCTGGAGGCAAGATCTTTCCTCAGTATGTGCTGATGTTTGGGTTGCTTGTGGAGTCCCAGACATTGGTAGAAGAGAATGCTGTTCAAGGGACATCACGAACTCTTGGGTTAAATATAGCACCTTTTATTAACCAGTTTCGGGTAAGTGTTGAGAGAAATTCAACCAGGTGTCTGTTATCCGCAGGCCACCTTCTCTCTGTACTTTTTATACAGTCACTGTGCTTAGCTGGGTTGGGATAGTACTGTTTCCTAGGGCAAAGGTACTTATTATGGATAAAAATCACCTAGGGAAGGTCGGAGGCCTTCAAGGATGTCGAGAGAGGGGTTGAGGTGTCTGTGTCCTCTGTTTCACCATGAACAGTTGCTCTCTAATATTTCATTCAGATGGGAAGGCACTTTTTACATGTTTCCTTTCCACTTTAGATGAGGAGACTAAAGTGATGGGACACTTTATAGTAGTTGGTTCTCAACCTTGACTATGTTTTCATGTGCCTCATAATGTTATTTCAGCCCAGAAAGCACTGCTTAACCAATGGTGGTCCCATTGTCATGGGAGCTGAAAAATTCCTGTTGCCTAGTGATGTCGTAGCCATGGTATTGTCAGAGCAACGCATTCCTCGTGTATTTGTAGTGATGCTGGAGTAAACAAGCTATGGTGCTGCCAGTCGTGTGAAAGCACAGCACATGCAATGACAGCAGCCATACCACCCTGGTTTGTGAAAGTGCACTCTGACGTTCGCACAACTCAGTCACCTGATGATTCATTCCTCAGAACATATCCCCCTGGGTGAGCGCATGGCTGGACTTTCACAACTACTGATAACTGGCTCCCAACTCCGGATCAATGTGTGGCCTGAATAGCCAGGCTTTTGAAAACCTCCCTAGGTGATTTTAATTTGCAGCCAAAGTTGAGAATCACTGCCTTATAAACTATTTTTCAGACAAAATCTGCTGTTAAGCTTTTTGGTTGAATTTGGCATATATTCTCAAATAATTCAATAGTTAATACTGTTGGCTTGTTAGTTCATCTTTACACATAGCACAACCTTGGGTTCAAATTTTTGAGCTGTTTGGCTTAAGTGAAAATTTAATCTGCTTTCATCAAAGCAAAGAACCTGTAGATAGCTGAGACCATGACTTAAATAAATGATTTAACCTGCTAAACCTTAGTTTGTTTGATCTTCCTGTAACAGTGGCATCATGAAGTTCCTGGTGCCTTAAGGTGGATGTAGGAATTGAGATAAATGAGGCAAAAAGCATGGTGTCTTCCTGATCCAAGTGCAGAGCCATCGGTTGGTGAGCCTCAGTCCCAAAAAGAACTGAGTAAATGTGAAAAATGGATGCTTTCTTTAGGTACCTATACGTGCATTTTTGGACCTGGCCTCATTGCCCTGTATACCTTTGAGCAAGCCAGTGGAGCTCCTAAGACTGGATTTAATGACTCCCTATCTGAACACCTCTAACAGACAAGTAAAGGTAATGTAAAATAATTACTCTTGTCATATTCAGAATACAGGTCTTAAACTAGGTAATGCTTTACATACATTAAATTGGTTTAGCCACTTTCTTTGAAGATGTAACTGTTATTTCTTTTTTGAACACTACCTCAAAATGGGCTCCGTTAAAGTAAAGTTGATAATAATCTGAATTGGGTAATTACATAATTTCTTTATGAAATTTGGATCTGAAATTGACTAAAAAGACAAAGACTGACTTCCTCATTTGTTCTGATGAAATTTTCACAATTTCTCAATTTTCCTAGGTACACATTTGTAAATCTGGTCAAGTGACTGCCATTCCATTTTGGTATCAGATGCACCTTGATGACGACATTAGATTGGATACCTCCAGTGAAGCCTCCCACTGGAAACAAGCTGCGGTTGTTTTAGAGAATCCCATCCAGGTGGCTGTGGGAGAGGAGCTCGTGCTCGAAGTCCAGCACCACAAAAGCAATGTCAGCATCACAGTGAAGCGCTGACGGGCAGTTTTCTGATGAAAAACTGTGTAAGTAGAGCAAGTACACAGTTTTTCTGGTGTGAGTAGTGCAGCTGTGATCGAGTTAGGGGGATGCGGTAAAGACTTAATTCCTTGTATTGGTCAAATATTTTTAAAAACTGACCTTAATAAAGTGTATTTAAAAGATACTAAATTATTGGGTAGCATTATTAAAAAACTTTGCTGCAGGCTTCCTTCCTGAAAAAGGCTGCCATTAGTTGTTCACATTAGGCAACTTTGTCTTTATTGCTTAGTTTTACTCACTATAGATTAAATTTTACTAAAGATTTTTGTCTACATGCTAAAGCTATACAGATAAAAGATTCGGAGTCATTTTCATTGTCATGTGTCAGTAAGTAAAGCACAACTTTTAATTTTTAGTCATCTCAGGTTTTTTTCCTTAAATCGAAACTTGTAATAGTAAACATCAAATCAAAAAGTTGGTTACCTGTGAATTTCAAGGTTGCTTCTTCTAAACACTCATGTACTTCTGAAACACCTCAGGTTTCGTGTTTTGGGAATGAGCTATAAGCTAAATGTAATTAAGAGTTAGGAAAGAAAATCTTAAGCAGGCTGCATTTTTCTTGGTTTACTCTGACAAAAATGTAAAAGTTGATAAATTCGAGAAAGAATTAAACCTAAACCAGTGTTTTTCAAAGTTTTGATTTGGATACACAGTAAGAAATATATAATTAATTGGTCCAATTTTTAAAGACTTGAATTAGATTAATAAATCATGTCTTATGTAGACTTTGTGCTCTTTGTAAGCCACAAATAAGGTATATCTTCTTTCTACAATGCCTATTCTCCTCACCTCTAATATTATATACTACCCAGCTTTACTTTCAATAGAAATGTTCAGTTCACAATAGCACACACAGTGAAGTCATTACTATGAACTAGTATATATATATATATGTGAGTGTGTGTGTATAAATATATAAAGTGAGAGTTTTGCGAAATACTGACCGTGGCTATTTGCAACTTACCATTTTCGCACTTTTCTGTATCTTATTTTCAGTATGAAATGTTAAATATTACCCAGTGGGTTGTAAGAAATGCCATGCTAAGTAATAAATTTCTCCCCAAAAGCCCCTGTATGTCTTCTGACTATAGTTTCTGGATTTCCATTTGCTGACAGCATAAATAACACTGAAGAAAAGCAGACTCCTCTATCACAAGTTTCTTATTTTCCAGTTTATTCTTTTCACTTCAAAGTCATGGATAACTTATTAATCTATTAGCATTACTGAAAATGATTTTTAGATAGTTGTTTTAAGGTTACTAAGATTAGGTCTGAGATATTTATCCTAATACGTAAGAGATAGGTATCTTTCATTGTAGGTATGTACTTTTTAACCCTTAATTTTTTGGACTTATTTTATGCTATGCTTTTCTAATTAACTTTTTGTTTAAGACACTAATGGCTTATGTTTAAAGAATGAAAGACAAAATGTTGCAGAAAACGATAAATTCTTATTTATTGAAAGACATCCAGTTGTGAAATAGAGAAATAATTGTTAGCATATATGGCACATGATTATAATTACGTTCGACTAATCCATATTTTTGAATTATACTTTCTGCTAATTCCAGAGCATCATATTCATGCAGCAGTGGTAGTAGAAAGCGTTGATTTTTTTTTAATGCCCATTCTCTTGATAAACAATGTAAAATCAGGAACATTTAGTACAATGCCATTTTCTACCATTTTAGTATGTGATACTCTAATGTTAAGAAATTGAGTTGATGTCTAGGATATTTAGACTGATTATTTGTGATATACAAAATTTAGTTATAAATCCAATAGTACCTGGCTTCCACCTATTTTTGTGTTGAAATTTCCCATCATTTATGGCTTGTCCCAAGCATAAAATCCTGAGCAATGCGATACCATGTACTGAAGTAATGTGGTAGTAGTGTCGTTTGCTTCACACACTGTTCAGGAGACCACGGGTTTATCTGAAGGTTCTTGTCTCTCTTCTGTGCTATTACATGTATCGTCGGATATGTCAGCTATAGTAGGTGTAGTCTGGGGAGTCAAAGTATGTCCAAACCCTTGATAGTGACCCGCGGGTGAAGGTGGCACAGAAGAGGCAACAGAAATTGCATCTTGTGATGATGATGATAACAAGCTTGTATGTTCATTTTGATCTTGATCCTCAGGAAAAAATTTTTTCCTAGAATGTCCCATGACTGTCCTTCCTTTAAAGTAATAGAAAGGTTTCCAAGTTAGCCAAAAGTTACGTAATCATATTTTATCACTACAAACTTACATACTAAAAATAAGCTCCTCTTTCCCCTCCCTATTTGAAGAGCCTCACTGTGGTACATGCTTTAAACAAAGTCTTTTTCTCTCTTAAATAGCTACTATATTGCCCTCGATAAAACTACCTATTTGGATGAATTAAATGACTGGTACTTACCAACATGCCTTACTTGTTCTGAAATATCATCCCTAATGTCTGAAACATCCCACATAGCGAGAAAGGAATCAAAGCATGAGCCCTCTTCTGCTTCTTGGACATATGGTTTATATGAGAAAGTGTAGTGATGAGCAATAGCCGCGAGGAACATCTCAATACAGATAATAAAGTCCTACAACAAAAACATCAGTCATCTCTGAGTTTAAATCTAGTTTTGTAGGTAAAGGAAAATGCTCTTCCTTTTCAAAATTATCTAAGTATCAATAGCTGTTTTTAACCCCATAAGATTATAACAACTTTTTCATTTTCCAAAATTATTTATGACCTCAAAAAAACCCTTCTATTTTACACTACCTCAAAATCAAGTGTTTCTTAGCAAAGTACACTGAATGCTCAGTCACTGCTCAGGGACTAAGAGCTAAAGTGCAGAATGATAAATGACTAGGAATAACAAAATCTAGGTCGTATTCCTGGCTGTACTAAGAATTAATTGTACTACAAATTAATAACCAATTTCTCTAAGGTCCCCCCATTTCAGTTGCAAAGTGAGGAGAACAGTAGCCTGCACGTTATTAGGTTTAAGAGATAATATGCTTAATATAAAAATGCTTGACAAAAGTTCTACTGCATTCAGAAACAGCACTACTTACTTGGAGTCCTGTAGCCACAGCTTCTACGGTTTGCCATTCCCATGTGTGCTTTTCAGAAATAACGCCAACTTTTACCAACAAAGCAATAACTACTGCTTGCCTATATATTAGGAAAAGGTAAACGCCATATCTATATCAAGCATAAAATGAGCAGCTGTTTTACAAATACGTCATTTTAAAAAGTTAAGGCCCAGCACAACCTGGACCATGACCATGACCATCCCCACCACACCACACCCCGCCTCCACAGCACATTCCTGAAGACACTGTGTGTCTATATGAAATGTACTGACTTGCTTTACAAGCTTACTCTCCTACTATAGTTTCATCACATGAATTTTCATTATGTATTCTTAAAACTAGTACTTGGTTTATACATTTTTCTTTTCTCTTAAGAGGGCAAAGGAGGGAGAGGGAAAGAGAGAAACATCAACTGGTTGCCTTCCTCATGCACCCCCGACCGCCTGGACCCCGACTGGGAACTGAACCAGCAACCTTTTGGTTTACGGGACCAACTGAGCCACATCGGCTGGGGCCATATCGTATGTCTTTTTGTGTTGAAAGTATGCACAAGGAATTAATGTTCTTCCGTGCCTGACATAGATAATGCCTAACACTGTACAATAGGCATTTAAAATGGAAGTGCAGATACTTAAATGTTTAAATGTGCTGACTATTCAGATTATTTAAAAGAACATTTTGAAACCAGTCTTGTTTGAAGTACTGGGACTAACTCAGAAGGGGTCTAACTCTAAGACAGTCATACTGAGCTTTTCAAGCAAATCTAGGCACAAGACCCTAGGTTAAATTTAATCAGCTAATAATGAGATAGACAAGTTTTCATAGTTCTGTAGACAATAATATTCACTTCAATATTGCTTGTTATGGTGAAAGAAAGTAGAAACAACCTAAATGCCAATAGAATAGTTAAAAATTACGTCTACACAACAGAATACTAAGCAAAAACCCAAAAAACCTAAACTACAAAATTATATTTCACTTTACTGACAAAGAATTATATCCACAATATAATGAACATACTGAGTTCTGTAAGTTTCTACAGTATGAAACTGTTCCTGTGGAGTTTTATAACACAGTGTTAATCATTCTGGGTGGTGGCATTAAAGGTTTTTTCTTTTCCCACTTTTTATTTGTATGTTGTTAAATTTGATCTGTTTCTAGGCCCCCTATCACCCACGCTGTGAGACATTTAGGTTGTCTCGAATTATTTTCTTATGTTACAGTGACCATCTGATTATTTCCTTATGGAAAGCCAAGATGGGCTAAAAGGATTAACTTTTTAAAAGGTAAATGGAGACATTTTAATTCACCATCTGTATTAAAAGTATTTTAAAAATCTTTCCTAGTTAACAGTTTTATTGTCTTTTAGAAAATGAGAACATGTAAGATAAAACAACACTTACCAAAAAGATACGAAAACCACCAGCTTTACACAAAGGAATTTGCCAACAGGCTGGATTGGACTCAGTTCTTCCTTCAGGACTTTGTAAAACAGCAACAGACAGTACATGGCAAACTAGAAGCAATCAGGATTAACAAGCTTCTTCAATAAGAATAACTAAATACAGTAGCAGAAACATGGAAGTTATAAAGGCAGAGACCTGGTAGAGAGTAATGTTTTAGGCAGTGATGTTTCAGGCAAATTTTTCTAGGCTGTATTAGGGTATTTTTAGATTACCAAGCCTGTATAGTTTACTATGGATGAATATATATATGAGATACAAGATATTTCAGAAGAAATGTATAACATCTACCCTGAAAATGGTTTTAAGTGTTCACTTACTGGGGCCCAAAAACAATGCAGAAGAGACTGCCACGCTTGGTAGAAAAGGCTTCCATGCCTGTGAAGATGCCTTCCCATTCAGCCAAAATAAATACACTGTCTACTTAGTAATAGCTTTTGTACACAAACTACCATCATTTTAGAAGGGTTGAGTTATTATTCATTATAAAACCAACACATTAAATAAGCACTTCACATTTCATAAGCACAAAATTTTTCTAGTAAAAATCTGACCATAACATCTGAAAATAAGGAATCAGGGAAACAATTTTCTTTAGGCAGTATGTTAATCCAGCAGAATTTCATAAAATAAATGCTCAAGACTTAAATTATTTTAAAATATCAGTTGTAATTAGTGTAATGTTGGAGATCTAAAAGTTTAATTTTTCCCATTAAAATCATAAAATGCTCATTTACGGTATTTAGAATACAAAAGCAGTATAAAGTTGTTCATAGTCCTATCATCCATCCATTCCTATTTATACATAAAGTGGTCTTTAACAGGCATCATCAACTAAATATAAAATTTTGTTGCCTGATTTTTTTCTCCACTTTTCCATAGGTTTCATAACGATTATTTTAATAATTACAAATACTTTGGCCAGTGGAAGGACCACAGTGCCTTTAGCCGGTCCCCATCACTGGGCTTTGAATTGGCTTCAGCCTTCTGCTATTACAAATAGGCTTCATATACAAAGATAATCAACGCACAGGTGCTTCTAACCATTACTTGACGATGCACTTCCAGAAACTGAATTACTGGTTCCAAAGAATATAAACATACGGCAAAGTTTTGAATACAAAGGAATTTGATTTTTATTCTAAACCTCTAACACCACACACATGCATGCCACTGCATCTAAATTATTTTGCTAAAAGCATTAAATATTTTAATTAAAGTTACAGTAAATTGAAAGGATCAGATAGTTATATATTTAGAGCATTTCAGTATCTAAAACAATTTTTCAATACCTGACAGTCTCAATTTTCCTTTAATTCCAAATATATGAGAGACACTGAACATGCCTAAGATATCTTGGGTTTCTTTTCTTTTTTTAAGTTGAGGGCACTGTGCTTATGCAAGCACCCAGAACCAAATGAACAAAGACAATAAATATGTCAAGGTATAAGTCACCAAAAAATTAACACAGATATATCTTTAAATATGTATAGATATATTATAGTTTCTTGAAATTCTTCCTGTACATCAAATTTCAAGATTAAAAAGTAACAATTAAGCTTTATTCCCAAAGACCTTTGTCTAAGACTTTATAGATACTAATTTAGTACAGTTAAGAGGAATATTTACTTACCAATTGTGACATATTGTTTATTATAACCAAGTAAGTCCAAGCATTTGAAAAACTAAAGTTGCCTTCATCATATACACTAAGCAGCTCACAGATTCTAAAAGTGGTAAAAATGAGACACATTTATGATTAAATCAAAATATATTTTAAAATACAGCATGGACAGCAATACTTAAAAGTCAGTTCACTTAAAAGATCCTATAGATGATTACTTGATTTTGGTCATAAAAGTAATTAAATAAAAACATTTTTCTAGAAATGTTACCATGTGATCATAGCTCCAAGTTGAAGGAAATCCAAAGTAAGGCACATACATTAAACTAGAGAGTGTAGTTAGATATAGATTCAAAAAGATTATGCTGCCTAATTGTCAAAAGCTTGACTGTTATAAATGGAATGTAGATCTATAACTATAATCCTAATTTTTCCCCTCAAATTGTTTTGGAGGTAAATTTTATGAAGACCCAGATCTAAGTATTTACATGATTAGTTTCTAAACTGCAAAAACTAAAGCATGCCTTCACAAATAAGTGGATTAATCTTAATTCTCAGGTAAATGTCACTGCAGAATTGCTAGCTCAAAGGCAGAAAAAGAACTGAACGATTATTTCACTTGTCTTTCCTTTCTTCCTCTGTAAACATGCAGAATTAGTTATGACTAGATAAAATGTACAATCTACCTCATTTAAATTATTTGTTTTTAAATTTTTAGGGAATAGTTTTACCAGGTAGCTTAATTTTATCTCAAGTGCTAAATCTTGAGAGAATTACTAAAAAATAGAAATACAATTTCTTCCTTGGAATATAGTATTCATATTCTAAATTATTTAGAAAATAAGACCATGCAATGAACCTAAAGTAACATACTCTAAATTCGTGTCATAGATGTTTCTGTAAAGCTGTGTGAACTAGTATTTAAAAAAGAAAGTATTTTAAAAGTGCTTTCCAGAAAGCTCTAGAGAGATGTTATTTAGAAGAATTCTGTGGAGATTCTTTGCCTACAAATGGTCACCTTATTTAATAGAGTAGGGTATCTATATACTGTGTTTTTAAAATAAGACTAGACCAGTATTATAAACAAGTAAACCAATGTTCTTTCTGTTTTTCTACTCAGTTCCACTTAAGAAAGAGCATGAGGATTAAAAAATAACAATATAAGCTCTATGTACTTACAAAGCAATGATGGTAGTGAATGGTCTGACAACTGTATACTGCAATACACCCAGCTTGCACCTAAACAGCAATACTCTGCCAAAGAGAAAGAATGTGGCATTTCAACCATTCATTTAAATAGTATCAGATTTTCTCCAAAACCCCCAAATTAAAGTCACGATGACAAATGAGGCCATATTCATATTTAATTATTTTAATTTAGTCATTCTAAGTGGTGATTGGGGAAGAACTTGGATGTTAGCAAATAATTTAAATACGATTTTAAAAATTATTTGACAACTACATCTTTGAAGGATCCCCCTTTCTGTGTATAGTCTCAAATTCATGAATAGTGCAGCATGCAACAAAAAGAACAGAAGTGGGTCCCTGTGTGTTTCTGGAATGAAAAATGATTAACAAATAAATTATGCATGTGTACATGTACATGAAACTTATCTACATTTTAGGTATCCAGTTTCAAGTTCGGTATTTAAATGTCATTCAAGACACTGTTATTGACTAGATACTCTGAAAGAACAGCTTTTATTATATCACTGGGTTCACTCAATATAGGGGAAAATTCACAAGGAGTAACCAACAAAAACAAAAAAGTCCCAATGCAACTACTGCAAACAGTTCTCTGCACGAGAGCCTTGTGTAAGCCTCTTAAAAGACCACGTGGCTCTCAGGGCAAATGCTCGTTCAGCACTTCTATCAGGAAAGCTGGCTATCGATGGTACGTATTATGAATCCCCTAATTTAAGAATTACATTGAGACTGAGAGTAGTCTGAGTCTGGCTTATAGACCTTGTGGTGCTGAGTTAATAGGTCTGGATAACTGTTGGGGTTCTAAATGCTGAGAACCTTCTCCGCGCTGAGGTGGTTCACCGCAGCTGACAACCAGGTCTGCCCCGGCAGTGGTGGGTCTAGGAACTGCACATAGGCCTGCTGCAAGACCTCCTGATGAGAACCCCTTGGCTGTACCACTGGGCTTCCCGTCCCATACTCTTTATAAAGCTCGAGTAAGTTGGAGCTGCTTACACCTAAAATATTCTGCGTTGATTGCCAAAACAAAGCTGAGACCACTAAGGGTCACTATGCAGATGAATTAAATAGCCAATCAGGTATCTTAGAACTGTGGAGAATTAATGACTGGAAGATGTATCTGGCAAAATTGCCCAGAATGTAGCAAATAGCAAAGGCTGAGACAAAGAGACAATATGAAAGAGTTACAAAGAACAGAAAAGAATCAAGTCGAACATACTAAGAGTTACAAAAGAGAGTAGAGGAAAGGCAAAATCAGAAGGCTAAAACCTTTCAAGAATTGAGGAAAGACATGAATCTACAGATTGAGGCACACTGTAAAGCAGGACTTAAACAAATAAAACCTGGAACCACCTAGATACTTCATAGTGAAACTACAAACATCAAAAACAGAGGCTCTTAAAGGCAAGTGGGAGACAGATCACCTATAACTGAAATATAATTAGATTAACAGTAGAGGGTTAACAGTAATAACTGAAGCCAGAATTAACTGCAATAAAATCTTGAAAATGCTAGGAGAAAATTCCTGTTAATAACACAGAATTATATACAAAACTATCATGAATGAGGGCAAAATACAGATATTTTGGATAAGCTTATCTAAGAATGTCTGCCACTGATACGTTGAAAGAAAAGGAATTTTTAAGGGCTACAATCTAGAAAGAAGGAAATGTTCTTAAATAGAAGAACTGAAATGCAAGGACTGAATGTAAAACCTGGAACATAGAGCTTTAAATGCAGTGTTAGAAAGAAAAAGGTGGTAAATTAAAGTAAGATTCTAACATGTTAGGAAAAGAACACAGTAAATCAAAAGAAATGGGAGAAAAGAAGTAAAAATAGAGCAGAAATTAATGAAATAGAAAACAAACACACTACAGAGAGAATCAATAAAGCCAAAAGTCAGTTCTTGAATAGGGAAACTTCTGGCAAAATTTTTCTTTTTTAAAGATTTTATCTATCTATCTATCTTTAGAGAGAGGAGGAGGGAGGGAGAAAGGGAGAGAAACATTAATGTGTGGTTGCCTCTCTCATGGACCTGGTCTGCAACCCAGGCATGTGCCCGGGCTGGGAATCGAACCAGCAACCCTTTGGTTTGCAGGCCGGCACTCAATCTACTGAGCCTCACCAGCCAGAGTGCAACATTTTTGAAGGGAAAAACAGACACCAGTAACATTAGGAATGGGAAAGGAGTCATAACTATAGATCCATAAAACGTGAAGAAATTTTAAAGTAATGTATGCCCATACATTTAAAAAATTTTGTCTATTTTGCCCAATTCCTAAAAACTATTAAAAAAAGAAAGATTCCAGAAACAACAGGAAGCCTGACTAGTTCTGTAACTGTTGTCACACAGCAAAAAGTCAGGCCTAATCTTTGAAGGTGGAATACATACATAATCTTTTCTTGTGATACACAAATTAAGGCAGGAATACCTATTCAGGTAGTATACCCAGGATATGGGGACAGACAGGGACAGTGTAAGAAAAGAAAACTGCAGTCTACCTTTACTCATGTAAGAATTCTAAACAAAAGATTAGCAAACCAAATCTTGTAGAAAAGCAGATGATATACATCATAACAATTTTGAATTTATCCTTGAAAGCAATGGGGTTTTAATATTAGAAACCCACAAATCTAATTCACTATATTAACATGTTAAAAGTGAAAAACTATGATCATCTCAGTAGAGAAAAAGCATTTGATTTTGTCATGAACTAGCTACATGATCTTGAGTAAACTAATTTCTGCAGACTCTTGTTCCCAATTATAAAAGGACATTGATTGAATGATTTCTAATGTTTTTATCCATAATGTTTTAAATTTTCTATTTCAAATGAATAATGTAAAAGAAACTATGTGTGGATTATCAAAATGCGTTTTGTTAGTCTTCAAACTTGACTATGAACTACATGAGGGTAAGGACTCATTTTTTGTCCTGCTCATAGTACTTAACACACTGCTTTGCAGAGAACTGACCGCTTAAATAAAACCAAAACATAAAAGAACTAAAACCAAACATACTTACTCTCCCATAGTCCATGGTGGACAGCAACATAAAGGAGGGAAATGTTTCTGTTGATCTTTGGCTTCAAGGATTAACACCAGATTTGGATACCGGTTAGTTAGATAATTGGTAAGGAATCCCATAAAGTTGTAAATGACATAAGCTTCGTAACATTCTCTGCAGGTATCCACATATATTGCGATGCTGGGGTATTTCAAAGCTACCCACTATAGAAAAAGCACAGATGTGAGAAGTAGTTGCGGCTAAGATAAATGAATTACCACTCCAATTCATAGTATTCACAATAAGCTAACTTTGGAACTTGCCACATACAACAAACTTCTGAAAGTTTTTTATTATGAGGGCTACCAGACAAGGATTTCTAAAAGCAATTAAACATCTCGAATACTGGTGAATGAAAATATCTGTGTTTGGGGGTAAGGGATGAACGTGAAGAAAGAATCTGAATTTTTTTCTTGACATAATGGCAGAAAATGCTGTGAAAAACATTTTCTTTATTTTTAATCAAATTAAAGCAGTCACCTGTAAGAACTGTTAGAATCTATTGGAAAGGCTTTTGCTGTTGAAGTAAGGATTTAATAAAAAAAGGATGATAATATAAATTTAAACAATTATATTTTAAGGACTAAGCGCTATTAGTCTGAAATTTTAAAAGATTAAACAAAGAAAACAGCTATAGATTTAAAAAAATTTTAAACATCTGCTTTTTCTGTTGTCATACTTTATCAACATTAAAAACAAGTTAACCTATTCACTTTTCTTATTAATCTGATTCCTTTTATTACTTTAAGCATTCTGTAAGTGTAGTTAGTATCATCAAAAAAGTTCTTAGTTAATGAGATAAAATGAAACATACTTACACTATCTAAACTGTATATGGGTACCATCCAAAGAATCCTATTTGGAAAGCAAAACATAAATTAAAAACATTTTACATTATTCTTATGAATTAAACCAACACAACACTAATAGATTCAAAATACGTTAAGATTTACCTTATTATTGGTTTCTGTAGTTCCGGTTGTGTATAATGCACTAAATGTTGCAATATCCCCCATAGTGATATAGGTATAGTCAACAATAAAAATATTCCAGCGATAAACCAAGCCTTGGTGTGTATTCCAACCTTAAGAAGCAGAAGAACATGCTAGTATAAATTATCTGATATTAAAAGAGCCAAATATTTTTATTTCTTAAATTTTCATTTGATTATTAATGAGGCCCAATATTTTTCAAATGATTAGTAGCTATTTTTTGTTTATTCTCTAATAAACAGCCTACTTTTACTTTTGTAAAGGGCGGAGGCAGAGTTCTCCCCAGGCGCCGAGCATGCTCCTTCACAGGCCTGCGGTAACGGTGATGAGCACAGTGACGATGCTAACACCACATCAACTTCCCCCCCAGCTTATCGGCCCTTTAGATTTGATTACAGTGCTGGGAGATATACGGAGTCTTCACATCTTCTGCAACTCAAATCTAAAAATCTTTGTATAGTTTATTCCTTTGCTTTTATGTCTAGAAAATTAAAAGCCTACGTACATTTTCTGCAAAATCTGTTACATTAGAACAGTTACTGAATGCTGACTGCGTGACTGACAGTTTAAGTTCTTCACACACATTATGTCTTGTAACCTTCCCATTTCATAAGTACTGCCACAATTACTGTTCCAGCAAACTGTGTTAACATGAGTGTACATACATATACATATACATACACACACACATATATATAAAAAACATTATCATCTCAGGATATATTTTCAAAAGTTTTAATTTCTCTTTTAGTTCAATATCTGATCAATATTCTATCCTGTAAAATTTCAATTTCTAAAAATATGCTTTTAACTATCACATCCTAGGTAGAGCTGAAGTAATCTACTCCTTGATAAAAACAAATTTGAACCTCTGTTCTATACGAGGTGCTCCAGGGAATTAATTTTATACTAACTTGGACTCCTGCCTTTAAGAGTATGAATCCTTTTAATTAAAAAAAGAAAAAGGAAATGCTAACTTTTTAAAGGAAAAGGTAGGCATTGATTTTTGGTACTTAAGGGGTTTGAGCAGTTAATTGAAATAGAACTAAGTCCACAACTTCTGATTTTACTGTTTTGAACAAGATTTCTTATCAGGCAGTCAAAGACTAAAGAAGTAGAAAACAAAAAGCATACAGAAAAAACATATTTATAATGATAAATTCCTACATTACACTGTATGGAAAACTTAAAAAGCAAATACAAAGGCCTTGCTGAATGCTTGAGATGAATCAAAGCAGTAAGTGAAATGCAAATATGTGGAGCTGAAGATTCTAAAAGGAATCTAAAAGGATTCTAAAAGGAATAGCTGAGCAACCGTATTCCAGGGACTTCTGCTTGGCTGAATTTCATTTAAAATTGAGCATTCATTTCAATGATGACCTAAAATAAGAACAACAGAAATAAAAGCATATTCTAGATCTTCTCTGTAAGGTGACCAACAGGAACAAAACTGCCAAGTAATGTTAATGCCCACATTTGTTTTTATGATTGTCTTAGTGCCACAACGTAGAACTTGAGAGAAGAATGCTGCAAGAGGGCGAAGGGATCAGCCAAAGCACACGCGTGCGTAACCCACAGACCGCGACTGCCATGCAGTGATGGCCAGAGGGAAGCGGGGCACGGGCCCTGTGGAGGCAGGCAAGGGGGGTGATCGGGACATCTGCAACAGTGTCAACAATAACAATAAATAACAAATAATTTTTTTAAAAAGAGAAAAACGATGTGCTTGTGGCTAATAAAGGCAAAGTGACCTCAGTGTGCTGCTGCAAGGAAAAAAGTTCTTTTTCAAATGATCATAAAACAAGTGACTGGATAAGTGAGTCATTTCAGTATAATGATGCCAAATTTAAAAAATTTGCATCATGGAGTTAGTATCATTTTTACATTGCAAATGGTAACTGAGTTTCATCCGTACACATTAACACCATTAATTTGAATCACTGGTTTTACAGTTGTTTTGATTTTTGAACTACATAAAAAGCATTATGTATGAGAAATTTAAACTTTTATGCATGCACATATAATAAAGTAAGTGAACTCTAAGTATCTGTAGAAAGTAATATAATTACATTAATTTTAATTTAATTTACATTTATCTCTAAATAATTCACACTTGAGACATATTTGATATAAGGATAACGTTAACATTATTAAACTTATCAGCAATGAGTAGGGTTTCCTGGCTCACAAAATAAGGGGGAGATAAGTAGCATAGATTTTCCTCCCCCCAAGGTAATTTGAAAGTAGAGGGGATAGAAAAGAAAAGCCATTAAAGGTGAGCATCCAGGAGTGAATGAACTGTCCCTCAGCTGGACGCTTCCAAAGCAGAGGCCAGAGAGGAACAGGAGTGTTCTCCCCAGTGCTCCCGAGGGGAAGAGAAGCACTTACAGAGGGTAGCCCCTTGGGGCATGAGGACCAGGGGGGCAGGGTACAATGACCGCAGCGCAGGGTGACATCATGTGTGCATTTACCTAACTTACTTGATTTCAATTTTACATACTCATCCAAGCAAGAGGGTGAAAGAAAGAGCTTAAATAGTGCAGGGGGGTCACCTGCCCTTCCAATAAATGGTGTATGCCCCACGGTGGGCATGCGACAGGCTATACAAACCTCCTGGTTTCTACAATCTGTTTCCACTGATTTCTCACTGTGAGCTCCGTGATTCTAGTGTTTGAAAGACATGCATTTTTAATTCAAAGCTGTCCCTAAATGTTAACTACTTTATCTTGGGCTCAGGCAGATGCACACAATTTGCCACAGGTGTTCAACTGAGAACCTAATACCAACTAAGATGCTATTTCACAAGAAAAAGAACTGCTGTTCCAATGCAGGAATAGTGATGCTACTGTTTAAACAACAATGGTCATTAGGGCTTACTGAGTATCTACAATGTGCTGGGCAGGGTGTTAAGTATTTTAGATACACAAACTCAATGAATAATGATGTAGAGAATGATAAGGGTATTGTATGTGGAGCACTTCAGCACAATGTCCCTTTACCCACTGATCCCTGTTTTCATACCTATAAAATGAAAATAACACCTATGTTTCAGGGTTATTAAGAATGTTAAATAAAACTTTGCCTAAATCTTGGGAACATGCTCTAGTTAGTGTCTAGATCCTTAAAAACAAAACACAACAAGGGGGAAAAAAAACTACTCCCCTAAACCCACATTCCTATCTTCTGTACTATTCATTTCTCAGGTTCCCTTAGAGTCAAATTAATCAAAAAGAAAAAAACTTGTATTCATATCCTGATTCCACTTCTTTACCCCACCACATTCATATTTCAAACAACTCCCTCTAGATTCAGCCATTACAACTCCCTTAAAACCACGACTAGGATCACTATAAAATGACATTCGTATCTTGCGAAAACCAAAGGATATCTCAGCAATACCAAGACACTGTTCGCTACTTTGCCCTTGAAACACTCGTGTTCTGGCTACCGTGACACCCCTCCTGGCACTGTGCTTTCCTGCTGGCAGGTGCTGCTTTTTTTAAGTCCCTGTCCCTCTACTGGCCTCCAACTCCTGCGCCAGGTCCTCAGCCTTATCGTCTTCTCCCTCACAATGGCATTCGTCTTTATGGCTTTAAACAGCATCTCTGTTCTGACAACTCCCATTTATATCTGCAGCTTAAACCTTTCTGAGCTGCAGACTTGCACATCCAACTGCATATCTGACACGACCGTCTGAATGTCTCCAATGTACCTCAAACTAAAGGTCCAAAAAACTCAATTTCTTGCCCTGGCAGGGTAGCTCAGTTGGTTAGAGCGTCATCCTGATACACCAGCATTGTAGGTTTGATCTCTGGTCAGGGCAAATACAAGAATCAACCAGTGAATGCATAAATAAATGGAGTAAATTAGTGTTCCCCCTGCCCCCTCAAATCAATAAATAAAAATTTTAAAAAACAACAAACCCTCAGTTTTTCTCCATCTTGTCCCTGTCAATTTTCCATCTCAGTTAACTGGCATCACCATCTACCCTGCTGGACAGGACACGAGCCTCACAGTCGTTCTTGTTTATCTCCCTTGCTCTCACTGTCTCTCCTTCCCAAGCCAATGCCCTGTGAAGTCCTACTTCTTTACTGCTAAGAACACTTAAAACCCAGTTTCCTATCTCTGTTTCTGCTATCCTGATTTGGGACAGAAGGCGCCGCAGCCCAAGTAGCTACCGCCTGCCCCACTAAGTTCCACAAAGGTGAGTGCCATGTTTCCATCTTTCATCATACAGAACACAAGCCTGATTTATCACTAGGACCCAAACAATCACCATCAGATATTTGGGCAGGAGAAGAAAACAAAGTAAGTAAAATATCATTAGATGGTGGTGAGTCCTGGGAAGAAAACTAAAGCAGGAAAAAGTATATAAAAAGTTGAGGAAGGGAAACCTGAATGTTACACAGTGTGGCCAGGTGACATCTGAGTGAAGACTTGAAAGACACAAAAGAAGGGCATGCCAGGAAGGGGAACGTTCAGTATGTGGCCTTAAGGAGGGAGTGTGCCTCTTCTGATCGAGTGATGTGGTGAAAGCTTGGGAACTGAGGAAAGTCAGAGGCGGGTGGGGGGAGGGCAGTATCAGGTCACGTGGGCCTTGATGGCTACAGTTAGGGATACTGGCTTTTAATCTGGGACTAGGAGTGATAGGAAAACTGAGAGGAGGACACACATCACATGACTTACATTTTAATTCAATACTTTTGCTGGTGTGTTGACAACAGTCCAGGCAAAACATAATACATTCAATGCAGAGTGTTAGCTGGAGATTACAGATCAAAATTTTCCTTAAAAGCTTAAAACACTACAGTTGAAACCAACAACTGAGAAGTCTTTAAAAGAGGTTGATACTATACATATCATTAGCTTTAAAAGTATTTTCTATACCATACTCCAAAGAAATACTTTAAAGTAAGAAATCCCTATTTGTATTAAGATGTCTTTGGTAAAGAAATTATGGAAATAACCTAAATATCCAACAAACTGTAAATATTTAATGTAGTAGAATATTATATTAAGAATAACTACATGGACTATGCCAGTATGGGAAAAGCAACAAAAAACAATTTAGTGAACATACAGGAAAAAACATGTATATTAAACACATTGTTTACTTATGTAAAAATCATCTCCACAATAAAAGGCCTCAAACTGAAGTTATTAAGAAATACAAATTGGCAATTACAAAATAGTCACAGGGATGTAAAAAGTACAGCATAGGGATTAGAGTCAGTAATACTTTAATAATTATATATGGTGTCAGATGAGTGCAAGACCTTTTGAAGAGATCATAAGTTATATAAACGTCTAATCGCTATGCTGAACATCTGAAACTGATATATTGAATGTTAACTGTAATTGAAAAATAAAAAAATTTGTTTTAAATAAAGACCTCAAATAGCCATGGTCTTGTCACATCTCTTGTAAAATAGGTTGTTTCTAAGTAAAAGTAGTTATTAACTTCGAATTTAAAGTTCATCATACAATTTTTATAAAATGCATACCTTAGTTAAATATTTACCTTGCGGTCTTCCAGCTTGTAGTACTTTACTGATGTCATAATAAGAATATGACATCAAAAAATACACAAGAGACTTTTTGCAAAACCTTTGTTGGTTAAGAGTTAATTTCTAGAGTAAAAACAACAAAGTTAAGCCAACTAGAATGCTTTAATTCAGGAAGCTAGTTAAATGCTAATAAAACTCAATAATGGCTTTCAAGGTAGTTTATTCTAGTCCAATATTGGAACGGATCAGATTTAAGGATTACTTAAAGGAATCTTACTTTTAAGGAATTGATGAATTCTTGCAAAACAAAAACAGTGCTTGTCTAAGCAGTCATCTTAATATATCCTAATTACTTTTTCGACGTGGTCCTACCTCCACCTGTGTCATGCTTTGAAAAACCGTGAACAGGAAACCAGACAGGTTTTTTTATTCTAAGACTGGGCTCATTTACAGGACATGGTTTTCAGGATATCAAGTCTGAGGTATTCAGGGTAAAAATGGGCAATCTCAGATGGGGCAGGAAGGTAGAGAAAGGGGTAGAGCCGATGGTTGCAGGCTCCTTACCTGCAGTTTCTGTAATTCCCACACGCAAAGGGGAACCGCAACCATTACGATCGCTAGGTAGATGACCGCCGCTAAAGGTCGAATCCATTGTCTCCAGTTCCTCCAGGTACAAGTGCAAGGCATGTTTCCACATAAATCAGCTCCGAATAGCAAGGAAAAAGAGCTCGAAGGAGATTGTAATGGGGAGCCCTGATCTTTGGCTGTTTTATCAACTCGCATCCTACACACAAATAGCTGTTGGGCGACTTTACCAGCAGCTCGAGCCGCCTCCTCGGCCTGCGCTGTGTTGTCTGCTGCAGCTGCGGCAACTGCGGCCGCTCAGGGTGCTACCGGGGAGCAGAACGGGCAGCATCCTTTCTTCCCCACCCCGCATCTACCCAGTTCTTCTGCGGTAGAAACCCCGGACGGAGCCGCTGCCCTCACCTGGGGATCGCCCAGAGTTCTTGCAGCACCATGGCCTGGGGAGCGGCGCGGACCCCGACGGGTTTCTGAGGACCCTGTACAGAGTTTGCTTTTGCCTCGCACCTGCCGACCCACTCGCCCTTTTCCTGGGCGGTCGAGCTCTCTACCTCTCGGGTTCGCAGGCGTCTCTGCGTCCGAGTCTGCTCATAAACAGGAGGCTTGGCTCAAACTCTATGGCCCTACAGAGACCTCACCTGCGCCTACGGACCATCCCCCCCGCCGCGAAGGCGGAACCCAACCTCACACCAGGGCTTCCGCTTCCGCCCCCGCTGGCTGAGGTTGGTGATTCGTCGACAGCTCCAAGATGGGCCCGCCTTATCCTGTGCACCTTCCACTCCCTGATTGGCCACCTGCGGAGGGCGGGGCTATTAGGAGGTGTATAAACGGATAGGTGATGGGATTTTCTAGAATCCCTGGCGCTTGGCCTGGTGGCCTACGAGAAGGATTCGGAAGCTGTAAGAATTAAGAACGCTGGAGGAATACCTACTACATTCTGCTGGCTGTAGCCCAGCATTAAGAAAGCCTGGGTAAGAGGCAGTTACCTCAGAGGTGAACCTTTTTCTGCACAGAAGTTGTCAGATTCTCTGTGGAAGTGAATAGGGGACCCAGATGCAATAAGAAGACAGAGAGGAATTGGAAACCTCTGCCTAGGTTTCTGTCGGTTGCTAAGATAGAGTGGTTGGGTCACTTAATTGTTTCTGGATCCTGCGGAAAGACCACTGTAGAGATAGCTTGATTGTTAGAAGCATCTGTAAATATTGAGTACCCTTCCGCATTTGGAACTTGCGTTAAAAACTCACACCCATTTAAGTTTCAAAAGGTTGACGTTCAGACTGACATTTTATGGGCTTTTAGCTTTTAGCTAAAACTATAAAGCAAACAAATGGTAAATGGGCTCTTAAGGCCTTTCTAAACCAATAGAGCAAGCAAATAGGGACTTCTCAATTAGATACACAAACGTCCTATGTTATAATTGTCATTTTGTGAGGAGCAGAAAATGTGCTAAGTTCTTTACCTGCATGATATCAGTTAATCTGCACAATTCGGAAGAGTAAGTAGTTTTCTATGTCACCTGTGAGAAAACAGATTCAAGTGGTTAAGTAATTTGCTTGAGCTCTCTGAGCTACTTAGGGATAGAGTTGATCAGGGAGCCCTGCAACCTGAGAAATTCTGACTGATGAACCTTATTCACAAGAAGCCCCGTTGTATTGAGTGCACCCAACCTAGGATCCTTATAGAGGCAGTGACAGAATGCTAACTTCCCTGGTGTCATTTGTCCTACCCAAAGTTTGGAGTTTGATTTCTGTACCCCTCTTCTAGATCTAACATCTGCGTGTTACAATCTGGTATCTTGTAATACAAACTTTTCTTAAAGGGAAATAGGCTTTTTGTTTGTTCTTTCTAAGCTAACCTACAAAATTGAAGTTGTTTTTAAGAAATTTCCTGATCATTAATGCATACTCCATTGTTAAATTTCAGAAAATATAAGAATAGAAAAGTAACCTTTTCTCTATAACAAGTATAATCACTACTTACTTTTTTGCTACACAGTATAATCTTCCTTGGATATACTGCATACCTGGATTGTCTCTGTGCTTTCAGCAACAGTCATTGCACCTATATTCTTTCTCATGGGTAAACCTATTTTGCTAAATTTGTGAAAACTTCCTTGATGTCCCTCCCTCTGCCCCCCGTATTCTATAGCACTCTTGTTGTGTAATCGTTTACTTATTTCTCTGTTCTTTTTTTAAGTTTTTAATGAAAGTTGTCTAGAGGGTGACTTTATTCCTGCATCTTCTCAATTGTTTCTTCCTTGTATTTGCCCTTTTCCCTTCCTATTTCACGAGATTTGACTTTACATTCAAGGATCTTTTTGCAGTCTTTGCCCAGCTTAAGCTAGTGATAGCCACCTTGCTGGGGTGAATGTCCACATGAATAGTGTGCCATTAACTTTCTCTCATTGCACTCATTCAGTGTAGATGACATTATTTCTTCCTGTAAAACTGGACTGTTTTGCCAGTTTCCTGCCCTTTGTAATGTCACACAATCTGAACTTCGTCATCTTTTCGGTTAGGCATGGATTGAACATTATACTTCTGTCTCATTTCTTTGGAAAGAGGAAAAGACATAATCTTCCTGCAAATGTGGGAAGGTGCACTGAAGTGCCTTTTAAGGCTCTTGCTCTGCTTAGTCACAAAAGGATTGAATTTCATTTTGCCCACTGATTCTTCTATGATGCCACTCCTCTGTCTTTTTAGCCTGAGTTCCTAGGAGCGAGCTAAAGTTCTAGAATACTAGAATAACTCAAGAGAGGGATGAGACTAGAATGTCAGATGCACAAGTTGTTCCTATACCTGTTTGTGAACTGGGGTTCATCTGTGATGAAGTTTCTGCCAGTCAATAGAGAAATGAGAAAAAAATATACAGTGAGTTTTTTTTATTTAGTCAAACTTATTCTTAATGATTGTGCTTTATTTTAAAATTGTTTGCTACATTTCTTTTATGTGATGATAATTATAGAATAGTTACTTTATAAATGTTCTTTGAAGAATAAAATGTTGGTAACTTTATATACTCCTATTTGTTTTATTTTTTATTTATGAAATTTTTCTCAGCCCATGAAATCCTACCGTCTAGTAATCACTGAAACAGGGACTAGCCTCTGGATTCAGCAACCACAGTGCTTGTGTGATCCCGATCTATCTGCTCTACTTGTTCTAGGTGGCCTCTGTTCTTTCTGGGTATGACAGCCTAAGCCTGACAGTGGATTCAGCTTGATAGTGTTTGTAAAATAAGAAATGGTTGTAACTGGCAGATGGTACTGGATCAAAAAAGCAAGCTGTTAGTCATTCTTGATGAAATTCAAAAAGGTAAAGGGAAGTTTGTCTTTATTTGTCACCTATCATGTGAAAATCTACCTATCATGTGAAAATAGGTAGATGGAATTTTGCCATCCATAGAAGATATGTTCAGATTAGTCTGAATTAAAATAAGTTAATAAACATTTATTTCGAGGGATTCTGGGAGGTGGGCACTGTTAACCCTTGGCATGTATCTCCATATCTCTGTGGAAATAGGTCCATGGTGGTTTAAAATACCCATAAAAAGATACAATCCCCCCTTAAATATGTGCGGGCTTGTGGCTGATTTGACCAACAGAACATAGTGAAAGTGATCAGAATTACCACAAGTGACTTCAGAGACTATGTTACAAAAGGCCATGCAATTCTACCCTGCCTGTTGGAACACTTGCATTTGGAACTTTCAGCATCTTGTAAGAGGTCTGACTGCCTGAGGCTGGTGTGCTGTGAAAAGCCCAAGACACACAACACAGAGAGACCCCTTGAAAGTACTGTGATTGATAGGCACCACTGAGTTGAGACCTCTGGTTAGCCCAGCCCAGGTGCCAGTCCTGTGAGTGGAGAAGCCGACTCCAGCTCCCAGCCATCTGAGTTGCCCTTCAGCCTTTTGAGTCTTCCCAGCTGAGGCCCTAGACTTCTGAGGCACGCTATTCCTGCTCTGCCTTGTCTTGATTCTTGCCCTGACAAAACTATGAACTCAAGAAAATTAGAAGACAAGACACAGACTGGGAGACAATACTTGGCAAAAGTTACATTTTATAAAGACTGTTACTCAAAATATACAAAGAACTCTTAAAATTCAACAGTAAAAAAACAAAAACTCAAAGAATTGGCCAAAGACCTTAACAGACCTTACCAAAGAAGACATGCAGATGTCAAATAAGCAGATGAAAAGATGTTCCACATTAAGGATATATAAATCAAAATAATCACATACAACTAAGCACTTATTAGAATGGCCAAAATCCAGAACACCAATACCAAATGCTAGTGAGGATGCTCAGCAAAAGGAACTCTCATACATTACTTGTGGGAAGGTAAAGTGGTACAGCTTCCTTGGAAGGCAGTTTGGTGGATTATTACAGAATGAAACACACTCTTAAAATACTATCCAGCAATTGCAGTCTTTATTATTTACCCAAAAGAGCAGAAATCTTATGTTCACACTAAAACCTGTATATGAATATTTATGGCATCTTTATTCATTCTTGCCAGAACTTGAAAGCAACCAAGATGTCCTTCAGTAGAGAAATGGATTAATAAACAGTAGTACATTCAGACAATAGAATATGATTCATTGCTAAAAAAAGAAATGAGCTCTCAAGCTATAAAAGAGACCTAGAGGGATTTTTAATGTATATTACTAAGTGAAAAAGCCACTCTGAAAAGAATATATATTGCATAGTTTTAACTATATAACATTCTGGTAAAGATAAAACTATGAAGACAAAAAATCAGTGGTTGCCAGATGGCAGTGAAAGGGAGAGATAAATAAGAGCAGAGAGGATTTTTAGGGCAGAGAAAATGTCCTGTATGATATTATAATGATTGATATATGTCATTATACTTTTGTCCAAACCCATGGAACATACAACACCAAGAATGAGCCCTAAGGTAAACTATGGACTTCGGGTGATTTTGATGTGTTAATGTGATTGATCCTTGGTAAAACAAAAATATACCATTCTGGTGAACATACTGATAATGGGGGAGGCTACTCATATAGGGGGGCACTGGGCATATGGGAATTCTCCATACCTTTCAACCGTGTTGCAAACCTTAAACTACTAAAAAAAAATAAAGTTTTTAAAAAAAAAATCCATGACCATAATGAAATGATTTGTTTTACTTCACTGAGTTTAGAGTTGTTTGTTACACATCTGTCCCAGTGAATACATAACTGAACAATGTATTTTGTCTATTTATAAACTCTCTACCTTATCTGAAAGAGGTATGTTACTTAGGTTTTTTTTTAAAGCCTCGATCGGGTGCTTCAGGTATTTTTTTCTTTTTTCTTTTTTTTTTTAAGGATTTTTGTAAGAATTTATTTGCACCAATTGACAATGTGCTAGGGAGGAAGATCTTAAGTGCTCCAGGATTTTCTTTTTAAGGAATACGTTCCCTTGGGAGTCTGAGATGATGCTAACCAATCAAAAGAATTAAGCAAGTTTTAGATTTAGTGATGGTGAATGCAGGGAAGAGATATGAGCAGATCTTTATGCTTGATTTTGTGATGTTCCATGTTCTCTCTTCCCTCAAAAGACAGGGAAAATGGTCTACTATGCACCAAATGAGTGGGGAAGAAAATAAAAACAGTACAAGTTGTAATATCAAAGTTTAACAAATTAGAGTTATAAAAAATTAAAAGAAT